GCCATTCTGAAGGAGGCACAGAGAACAACAATCGTCTCGGTAGACGGTGTTTTGGCATGCATAGCACATGACCGAGCCATCGCAGTCGATGATGCTGGATGTTTTCCCGGACTGAGGTGCCTGCAGCACAACCAAATACCCGTTTTCTAATCGACTCGTCACTGACACGCTGACGCTATCCAAAACCAGCCACGCTTCTGAGGCATCGGTTGTCGAAAACCTGAAGGCGCCTCACATCATCTGTTGCAATATCGAATGCAGACGTCTAACCTATCATGGAAACACGATGCAGGGCCAAAGGGCGCTGGAATCGCTTACCGGTCAAGCAACCCTAAAAGTGTTATTTCAAGTAAAAAACAGAGATGCCATGTCAAGTGAATCATGATGGTCAAGTTAACGTCTTTTTATTTTTGTACAATGCGAAATGACATACAACGGGTTTGTCGGGGAAAAACTACTAGCCAATACCTTCTTCGAAGATTCCGAATCACAGAACGAACCAGCTAAGTCTTATCATCACTATCGTCACCAAGGACAGCAAAAAGTGCTGACACGAACGCTTTACTGCGTACAACCATAACGTTTATATAATTACATTATCACCACTATGAAGGGGAAAAATGAACGGAGGAGCCCATAACTCCCAATCCTCGAAGACTGTAAATTCATTGCACATTTAAAGTACGAAAGCCACCGACATCAATTAGCCGCCATGACCTGCAACGATTCAAGTCAACCGCAGGAACACCATCCTGGAAGGCGAGCGAAACAGCACAACTCTTCGTGATCCGTTTCAAATCTTTAGAGTAGATCATAGGTGAACCACCCTCTAGCTGTCAGCATTCTGAAGGAGGCATGGAGGATAACATTACTCTCGAAAGACAGTTCGACTCACGGCCGAGCCACAGCAAATAATGGTGCTGGATGTATAGTGCGACTGAAGTACCACTGCACAAGCAAATACCCCTATTCTAATGAGCTCGTTACAAATTTGTTGACCTCATCTAACATCAGCAATGCTTGAGGCATCCGTGGACAAAAACCTGAAGACGCCTCACATCATATGTCCGCAGAGGCCATGTCTCGCAACCATACAGCACAGCCCTCACTGTAACTTGGTGCGCGCCACTCTTGAGACCCAGTGAAGAGCCTCAGTCACGAAGAGATTGGACCTTATCGTTGTGTGACGGTTTGAGTACCCCTGAAACCTAATGAGCTCTACTGGGTGGTGTCCATGCAACACTCACAGAATCTCTCATACCACTTTGGTAAATGGATAGAGGTTAAACCAACAGTTTCCTGTCCCTCCATGTTGGAGCAAGTGTGGTGACTTGTTAAACAAAAATTGTAATGCACTTACATTTTCCTCCAACCAACGCTGCCTTGCAGTCAGGCTTTTGAGTCAAAGGCTTCAGTTCGGGACTTAAATCGTCCTCCCGCTTAGGTGTGGACGCCCTGGAAGTATTCCAGCCAGATGGCTCAGTGGTTAGAGCACGACTTTACCGGCCGGAAGGTTGGTGGTTCGCACCCGACTTCTTTCTAAGCTGGAGCAGCCTGGCAGCATCTCAGCCATCGGGTGTCATGGCGGCTAGGCAGCGGAAGCGTGTTACAGCTGAACGATGATTCTACTATTTATTATCCCAGCCCACGCACAACCATCACAATACAACAGCAGGGCAGGTAACCTAAAACATGCTACTGCTGACGCATGCCTTCTTACACTTTCAGGTTTTCCCTTTTCCACCCTACCCCAGCAAAGTTTGAGTACTCTTTCCGCAGGTCCCAGCACTAGGACTGATCGCATTGTTCACCGTGCATCACACTCAGCTGCAGCTTCTGTACGTTGTCAGACTTCAATGACAACCCACCAAATACTCCGAAATATGCTTTCAAAACCTGGGAGTTAGCCTACTGAGCTGCCTTCAGTGTTCGCACACTGAAGCAAGCAGGATAACAGATGGCTCTTGCTGGTGAGCTGGATTCCCTCTGCACTGATGTATGCTGTCCGTCAGTGACAAGGATACAGAATGCAAGTACTGTGTTCGAACTGACTGTCCCCTCGCTCTCTTTCACGTTCCGGATGCGCACCTCCGTTGATGCAGATGTCACTGCAGCTGGATATGCCGGGGTAGATATTGTATTGAGACGCCGAGCGTAAACGTCTCTACTTGGTTGGATAACCGTTGATAGTCGCCTCTGCGCGATTCATTTGGCAACGTCTGTGGGAGTATCTCAAGAATGAGGTCTACAGCATCCTGTTTATCGTGTCTGCTTACCTCCCAACGGACTGTAGCTCTAAATCTGCTTAAGATAGTTTCTATGACGCTGTAAGTGCTCTTTTACAACGGGCTAAGAGCTCAAACATCGTTATGATTGCTGGTGACATGAACGCCCAGGTGGGTAGACTGAGCGATGCTGTGGTCGTCTTGGATTGGACACGAGACTCACGGACAACGGAGACCGTCTGCTCCAGACTTGTGCCGATCACAGACTGTTCCTTTGCAGTACCAATTTCCGGAACACAGGAAATCGCTTGACAACATGCCGCCCACCTACGAGCCAGCCTCGAATCCAAATCGGCCAGATCACCGTCAGCTACCGGTGGCGGGGGTCGATAACTGCCTGGCGCTTCTGGACTTCGACCATTCACTGTGCGCTGCTGTTTTTCATTGCGCTTTTCAGGTCTATGCAAAACAAGCACACCTCGCTTAGCAATTGAGAAGCTAATAGACCCACAAATCAAACGAAATTTTCAGAACCGGCACTTCGAACACCTGCCCGTCTATGGTGTCGGATACTAACGGCCACTGGGAACAGATATCCAGTACTATTCAGAGCTGGGAATTCCGTGTGTGTTACAACCCAGTTCCAAACATTGGATTTCCGATAGGACCGTGGCTTTTTTAGAATCCCAGTGATAGATGCCTCCTGACGACAACCACAATTCCACCCGACGCATCATCCAACGCTAGGTAAAACTGAGCGCCCGTGCAGTTGAACCCGAAAAGCCATAGGAATGGAAGAAAAATGCTGAAAACGTTCGTAAGCTGTTCCACTTGATTCGTTCGACTGATCTTCGGAAGCCTCTGGCCAGCGAAACTATTATGGACCAGAATGGCTCTTTGATATGCAGCAAAGAACTTTTGGATCGCTAGGAACAATACATTGGACAATTGAGTTGGCCACCTGCTACCTACAATTCCGACTGCTGGTCTTCAACAGAAAGGTGGACTGTGGACATAGAAACTTTTCCAGCCTCAGAAGTGTCCAGGGTGAGATGGCCCAAGTGGTTAGAGCGCGAATTTACTGATCGGAAGGTCTGTGGTCCGAACCCGACCTCTGCCTCTCGACTTCCCGTCTAGGCTTGAGAAACCTCGCAGTAGGCCAGTCCTCGTGCATGGTAGTTGGGCACCGAAAGGGTGCTACAGCTGAACGATTTTTTTCAGAGGTGTCTGAGGGAATATTTCGATTCAAGCGTTATCATCCTGATGACTTTCCACCTGCTCCGTTGGAGGATGGCGGCGGATTCCTCAGTCACTGCTTGTTTATCCTGTTTGTGTCTATCTGGGAGGAAGAGACCATTCCAGAAATATGGGATGAGTCGACACTAGTGCCTGTTTTCAAAAAGGGTGAATGTGGTAACCACAGTTTGACTCCCATTGCAACAAGGCTTCTGGCGTTACTGATTCATCGGCGACTTACGGCGGCATGCGACTCCTTGACCCATGCGCATCAAGCGGGATTTCCACCGGGTAGATGCTGTGTCGACCACATCTTCACACTCCGTCAGGTGTGAACGTCACATGTACAGATGACCCACAATCTTCCTATTCCTTGACTTCAAGGGTGCGTTCGATTCTGTCGATCGGCAGTGATGTTAACCACACTTGCTCAACAGGTATGGCGCGGACTTTTGTGAACATAGTCCGGTCCGTATACTCACGTGACTCTAAGCGTTTGAGGGTGTATGGTGAGCTCCTCAAAAGCTTTAATAAAAAAAGTAGTGTCCGATGAGGACGTCCACTCTCTCCATTCTTGTTCAACTCGTCACTGATGAAATAATGAGGTGAACGCCGGAAGGTCCTCAAAACCCACTGAGCAATCTCGCTGGGATACTGCCACGGCGTCTACACCTAAGCAGGAGGGCGATTAAAGTCCTGAAACGTAGCCTTTGGCTCTAAAACCTGATCGCTAGGCAGCGTTGTTTGGCGGGAAGCGCAAGTGCATTACAATTTTTGTTTAAAAAGTCACCACACTTGTTCCAACCTG